GGAGCTACGCTAACGCTATGACACAAGTCGATGGAAACAGAACAAACGTCTGAACGTCAAAGGAGAAGTTTCAGGAGGTGAAAAGCAGAAGAACTCTCTGACGTAGACCTTTAATGCACAAAAAGCAGCTTTACACCAAAGTGAAGGAAAGAAGGAACCAGGAAGCTGAAGCTGGACTCACAGTTTGGGTTGTAGCAGTAGACGTCCCATCTCTCGCTCTTGTTCAGCCGGTATCCGTAGTCGATGATGCCGACCTTCCCGAAGCCACAGTTGGCTCCGGCCTTGACGATGGGATACCCGACACGTCCTTTATCGAACCATCCAGCAGCACACACATGAAAACCTGAAACACACCAGACGGACACACAGTCTTTGGTCACGTCGACACAAACGAGCTCCTGTCTGCCGCCAGCTGCAGAGGACGAGGCTGGATTGAAGCCTCACTCAGCTGTTGTTCTTGTTTGGGAGAGTCTAGCTCAGAGTTACAATCAGCCCAGATAAACCAGGACCTCCTAGGTGGCCGACAGGGAGGCTGGATTCAATCTCTGCCCTGGAAGCTACGATATTACTCTCCCAAGAAGGCGCTAACAGGCTTTTACAATCCTTGGGAGGCCGTTTAAAGCTAAGCACAGAGAACAACGGAGGCGGGAAAGCGTTGTTCCACTCGCTGACCTTCACCCCGAGAACACATGAACCTCCTCTCCTTCACGTTAAAAGCATTCCTGAGACGTGTCGGCGCTGTTCCATCACAGCAGCCTCATGTTTAATGTACTTCATGGGAGAGCGGCAGCGTAAACACGACGCTTCCTGCTGCAGAGGTCTCGTCATGTAAACTGCTTATGGAGCAGGATCCAGTTCTGAAATCAGAGTGAGTCACCGGCGATGACAACCTCTGGACTAGAGTTTGTGGAGACGTGTGAGTGTGCAGACCTATCTGTCGGGCAGCTTCCAGTTGTTGGTACGTGGCCAGCGTCCCGCCCTCGTACTTGCAGACGGCCTTGGCCTCTTTATACGTCAGCTGGTATCGTCCTTTGCGTGATTCTCGGTGGTAAACTCCAGCTGCTTGTTCTGTCGGAGAGAGACAACAAGAGATGAGCTCCAGAGAGAGTCTGATCTAAAGAGGCTATGGTCACCCAACATCTAGTCGGTGGAGGTTTGTGTTGGAGCAGAGAGCATTATGGGACTTTAGCTGATGAATGGGCACCATGACGACGACTCATGTGGCACTTAATGACCTCCACCCAGAGCTCATGTGGATAAACTGATAAAAACAGTGTCAGCAGCTTGTTTGTGTGTCTGGATGTAAATAAAAAATGTGGTTTTACTTTCTTCTGATGCAAAATGATTGAAAACCATCATCAGGCCAGAGTCTGACCTCAAGTTAAGGGTTGTTCAGTGTAATGTACTTAATCAAAGTAAATACGAACACAAGTTTTTAAGTTTACTATTTAAGTTTACAAATTTTAAAAATTACTTGAAATCTTGACCTCAAGGTGAAAAAAAACGTCGTCATCAAGCCGATTTAATGAAGTTACCTCAACTTGAATTTAGCTTTAAATCAACTAAAGCAGAAATTTGAAAATAAATTACAGTAAATATTAAATGAACAAATAATCAGAACAATGTTTGTGACTTTAAAGATTTATCTAAATCAGCAGATTACATTTATTCATTTATTTATTAACATGTAATGAAGTGGTGGAACAGGGCTCCAGCATCAGACTGTGTTAAAGCCACCTGATAAAAAATCATATCTGGGCTCCACCGAAAAACCATAACGCAACAGTCTGCATCAGTCTTTATTTAGTTTAGACAATTTCTAATTAAATAGTGTTCAAGCAACGAACTACACTGAGTCAGAGAAACCAGCTTTTCCTCTATTATCAAAGGTATTTTAGTTACTTCATGATTTATTTGCATAAACACAAGTTTTTAGTCGATTACTCGTAATAATTGGGTTGTTTGTAAGTGTTATGGACCTAATTAGCATAATTATGAATGCAGGTTTTTAAGTTGCTCCAATGTTTATTAGAGGAGACTTGAATTCATCAAGTCAAGTCAGATCAACCAGAATCTAGTTCTAACTAATGCAGTAATTCAAGTTTAAATTATATAAAATATTAAACGGATGTAAGGTTCTTATAGAACTTTGATCTAAATCTGTCCCCGTACATCCTTTGACTTGCTTCTTAAAGTGTTCTCATGTGAAGGGCTGTTTGACCTAAAAGTGAACAAAAGTCTGACTGAATGATATTTTTTCTGCTTCCGAGGCTCAACAACAGTTTGGTCGGTGGCTGCTGCTGCCGATGGGGAGTCCTCCGCTGAGCCTGCCTCGGCATGCATGACTGCAGAACTTGGCAGGACTCACTCGAAGTTAGCCACCGGTTGATATTTTGATCTTTTTAAACCCGTTTGCTGAATGTTTTCACACTAATTAAACTCTCGTGTTTGGAGCCGCTGCTGGCTCTGCTGTGCGAGACGGAAAAGGTTTCAATAAAGGTGCACGAATGCATGAGCAGAACGAAACGCTTCCATCGTCACCTCGTAAATCCCAAAGACGGAGTTGATGAAGTGAGAATCGGAGGCGTACGTGTGGGAAGGCAGCAGCTCAAGACTGTAAAGCATCTCCATGATATTACAAAAAAAGAGGAACGTTGTTGTTCTTGTGATTTTTTGGAAAGCCCTGCGATGAAGTCATCTCCTCATGTTTACTGCGTCACTCAGCCGACCCATAAACATGCAGCTTGGCTCACAGAACGCTGCTGTATAGGCCATTAATCCTCCTCACAGGCAGCCTTTATGTGGGAAAAACTCCTGCAGCGTTTGCAAAAAAAAAAAAACCTCCCTCATAATCGCAGGTAGCAGCAGCTGAGGTCAGACTTCATAATGAAGCAGGATTCATGTATTTAAAACGTGTGCTGGACCAGGTGAACACGTTACTGCAGGGATTCAGTCTCCAGCCAGTTTAAAGCAGGTTTTTGTTTTGTTTAATTTGAACCATGAATCTTTTACCTCCTTGAAACACACTGAACACCTTCTTGGTTGTTTTATTTAGTTTACTGTGTTGGTCTGCTCCATTTCATTTACTGTCTGGTCCACTTGGTGTTTAATATCTGCAGGACCTTGAAACATCGATTTAGAAAGCTGCTAATAGGTTATTGTTGATATCATCACCATTTATAAATCATGTGATTGGTTTAATCTTAGTTAATTATCAATCCAGGAACGTTAATTCACAGCTCACACGTGAATTTCAGTTCTGTGAAAGTTTATTCATGTTTAATAGACGACATATATGTAAAAGTTTCCAGTTTGATTTCAAAATAACTTCATCTATTTACTTCATTTTTACTTTATTTACATTAAAACAGCAAATACTTAGGTCTGAAATATACTTTAAAGTAACTACAATCCAGCTGACTCGGTCGCTCGGTGTATGAAGTTAATGTGAATTCACTTCATTTGATGGATAAAGAATTAAATTTGAACTCAGCGAGTGATTAATCCTGCATTAAAGCATCACTGATCATTCATTCGTTAGCTGTAGTTTCGACCACGTGTGAGGAGGAAGCTCTGCTGGAATCAGCTTCACGGTGAATTGCATCGTGTACATTTCCCAGGATGATGACCTTCCCACCAAAGAGCTCCCAGATGTCTGTGGAGCAGCAACAGTAACTCACCCAGCCAGATCGAGTTGTGAAATATTCCGTTTTTGAAGCCCCACGAGTGCGTCTCCGTCAGCAGGACGCTCAGAGTCCAGAGCAGAGTCAAGAGCAGCATCCTGCAGCCTGCAGAGGGTTCAGGAGCTCAGAGCTGCTGCTGCTGCTGCTGCTGCTTTAAATACCCACCGAAGGGGAGGAACCCAGATCTGAGGAACCGGCCGCTGCCCACTCACCTCCTCAGCACTGTGACACAAAGAAACAATGTCTGAGCTCAACTCAAGACGACTTCTGATGAAATATGTTCAACCAGCAAACTGCATCAAAGTAAAGGAACCAGCTTTTATCTTTACTCGTCGATCACTGAATGATCGGCAGCATGAACACGAGTTTCTGATAATTAGTGAAGAGGCACCACAGCAGTCTTATGAGACACTTAATGAGCTCCGTCCAGCCCACATGTGTTAAACAAAGTATATTTATAACCCAGTGGAACATGAAACAGCTGGTCTTACAGCTTGTTTTTGAGTCTGGACGTCAGTAAATATGTGACTATATGTTCTGCTGTGGTGAAACCATCCAAGCAGGATCCACCAACCAGCACCACTGAACTAAACAAGAGCTCGTAAACATGATTAATTAATGTATGAATGAGTGAAATTATTACAATTAAAACATGATGTCTGTCCTGCTTTATTGTCATGAAACTGACAGAGAAGCAAAAACCTGAATGACCAGGTTTAACTGTGTTCAGGTGAAGGAGGCAAACGTCAACTTCTGACCTTTAATAAAGTTATTAAACCGAAAAAATAAGGGTTGAGCTTTACGAAGCAATTTGCAGCGATCTTTCGATCAATCCCTGAATAATTAGCAGCATGAACACGATGTAGGTGGTTAATTAACAAAAAAACAAGTTATTCCAACTAGTGTTTCCATGAGGGATGTAGCGTGGGTCAGCTGCAGTACCTGGTTGTTCCACCAGGTGGCCTCTGACTGTTTAATGCTGGAGAGACCAGAGGAGGCAGACAGTTCAATGTTGGCAAGCAGACAGCATCATGGGAGTTTAGCTAGTAAAGAGCATAGACTGTATAACAGATGGACGTAGCTNGAGGAACATAGGAGCTAAAGTGGAGGAACATAGGAGCTAAAGTGGAGGAACATGGAGCTGAAGTGGAGGAACATGGAGCTAAAGTGGAGGAACATGGAGCTAAAGTGGAGGAACATGGAGCTAAAGTGGAGGAACATGGAGCTAAAGTGGAGGAACATAGGAGCTACAGTGGAGGAACATAGGAGGTAAAGTGGAGGAACATAGGAGGTACAGTGGAGGAACATAGGAGGTACCTCGGGGAGCTGCAGCGACGCTCTGGTCTCCTCCACTGTGTCTGAAACAGATTAGCAGAGCAACATGTGCACAGACCGGAAGGTTAGCTCAGGATGTAAACACACCTTTTAATTCACCTGCACACACGTTTAAAGAAGCGGAACCGGCGTGTCAGTGGGCTCGGCTGCTGGGCCGGACCCAGCAGCCGGACCCAGCAGCACCGCCTGGTTCTGTTCAGAGACTCAGAGCTCAGAACCGAAGCCGCAGCAGCTGCTAACGTTTACTAGCAGGTTAGCAGCAGCGTTAGCAGGCTGCAGCTAGCAAAGTTTCCCTGCGAGCAGCGGCTCACCTGCCCGCTCACCTGCCCGGGAGTTCACTCAGACCCACAACACCCGGCACACACACGGCTACCAGCCCAGCAGAACCCGTCCCCCGGTCGGCGGCTGTCTGAGCGGACACACCGCGCAGCCTCTGCCGGAGCTACGCCTGCTCACCTCGGTGTGAGTCGCTGGACGGGACGGCGGTTCCGGGACTCTCCGCTCCCCTGCACCGGGCTGCTCGCTGCTCTGTCCGGTGTTCGTGGCTCTGAAGCAGCGGTGGATGGTATCACTTTGAGCCTCCTTCCTCTGGTTCTGCTCCGCTGCTCCTTCCGCTGCTGGGACCCCGCGAAATCTGCTGGCGCCAAACCACCACGCCGACGTACGAAATTACCTTTGACCCGCCGCATCACACAGCGGTACCGCCCACTTTACCTTATAAGGAAGAGCAGCAACAACACTGACACTACGGTAATAAATATAGAAGAAGAAGAATGAGAAGCGAAAGAAGAAAAGGAAGAAGAAGAAGAAGAAGAAGAAGAAGAAGAAGAAGAAAAACGGTAATAATAATAAGAAGAAGAGAAGAAGAGCAATAAGAGGAAGAAGAAAAAGAAGAACGGTAATAATAATAAAAAGAAGAGAAGAAGAAGAACAAAAACAATAATAGAAAAAAAAGAAAAAATAATAAGAACAGTAATCATAATTATAATAGGAACAGTATTATTATTATTATTATTAAGAAGAAGAAGAACGTACAGAACGTAGTAATAAAAAGAAGAGAAGAAGAACAACAACAAAGATAATAATAATAATAATAAACAGTAAGTAGAAAAACAGTAGTAGAAGAAAAATAATAATAACATTAAGAAGAGTAATGACAATAACAATAAGAGCAATAATACTATGAATAATATGAAGAACAGGAATAACAAGACAATTATTTTTTTGTCTAATCTTGGATTTTTACTTAGATTTTGGATCATCTGAACATTTATTGACATTAGTGGCATCTAACCCAAACCCAACTACACACTGATTTATGTGAAAGAATCCACAAAGATTGGAGGCTTTAGTCTGTTTCTGTTCATCATATCTTTAAATTATGATAGTTTTAGCTGATTTCAATGCAGTAAAAGCATCGATGTTAATGTTACAGTTAAACATTAAAAGAGAACAAATTAATATTCGTAAATTACAGATTTTGATGTGGAGAACATTTACAGCTTTTATCTTTTTTTTAAGGATTAACATTAAAATAATATTTTTTTCCCTGTAATTTTACCAAACATTATCTGGACTATAACAAAACAGAAAAAAAGTAAAATAACAGCAAATTGTTTTACAAAAAAAATACAGTTTATGGTACTGCTGAGGACAGACGGAGTCAGGAGGGTTTCACTTGTTTTATTCCTTTAATCAGCTCTAAACACTCATTACAGTAAACGAGGTCACCAGTCACGTCATAAATACAGCATCAGGATGCAGCAGCGCCACCTGCCGCTCAGGTGAAGTGATGGGTGTGGTTGTGTGAGAGCAGCGATGCGTTGACAGCTGTGTACTGCAGCTGGAAGCCTCCGGCCGTGACCGAGGCGTCCGACAGGAACTTCAGCGTCATCACGTTCCCTAAAAACAGCAAACACAAGGTTTAGGTTCTGCAGGTTTGGACCAACGTGTCCTCAGGTGTGAAGGTGACGCCGCTCACCTGTGCTGATCATATCATCAGGTAGGTAATCACCACAGAACCTGGAGACGGAGGAGAAGGTTCACGTCAGACAAAGACTCTCCTCAGAAAACCTCAAGCTTCAGTCACAGGATACTCAGAACAAACAACTTTCTCTGTTAGTGTCTGTTTTCAGTTTGTTTTTTCAGAATCTTTTGCAGAATTTCCTGCATTTTGTTGTTTTATATGATGTAAAAATGAATGTTTAGAAGTTTTTAAGAGCCACTTATGGAAGAGTTTGCTGTTGTTTTACAGATCGTCCCTGTTTTGTTAAAGTACAGAAAATAATTAGTGAAATCACATCACAGAGAAAAGCATTTATTTAAATGTAAATCCCTAAAAAAAAACTGTTCAAACTGTAAATAACATTTACATCAAAAATCTGTACTTTTAAAGCATTTAACTTTCAATACTTATCAGTTTCTCCTTCCCACCTTCCAGCGAAGCCGGACACGTCGTCGTAGCTGTCGTAGACCTCCAGGTAGTCAGCCAGGCACGCCGTGTCGTCCTCCACGTCAAACTCCAGGAAGTTCAGCCGGATCCTCTGGCCCAGACGGACCCGGATGTGCCAGTAGCAGATCTGCTCATCCTGGTACTCGTCAGGGAAGCCAGGTGACTGGATGACCTTCTGCTGCTCCGTCAGGACGCCGCCGCACTCCTTTGCTGTAGGAAACACCAGAACAAACAACGTCTCTGGTCACGGCTTCACCTCTCACTTCACTCTCCTCTAAAGACAGACTGAAACCTCATCCATCCTCCTCCTGCTGGACCAGGGCATCCATCCTCCTCCTGCTGGACCAGAGCATCCATCCTCCACCTCCCATTTACTACAGGAGTCATTCTAGGTTCTGTTTATTCCTTTAAACCTCCACACATTTTGTCTTCTGAACCTTTAACTTCTCATCCTGCACCTCGACCTTCAGATCATAGAGTCAGCTGCTGTTTAAACCTCCACAGTCCAGGATGAGCACAAACTGAGAACGTTATATCATTACATCATAGATAATGGATGGATGGATGGATGGATGGATGGATGGATGGATGGATGGGTAAATGGATGGATGGATGATGGGTAGATGGATGGATGGATGGATGATGGATGGATGATGGGTAGATGGATGGATGGATGGATGGATGNCATGGAGCTACAGTGGAGGAACATGGAGCTACATGGAGCTACAGTCGAGGAACATGGAGCTACATGGAGCTACAGTGGAGGAACATGGAGCTACAGTGAAGGAACATGGAGCAAAAGTGAAGGAACATGGAGCAAAAGTGAAGGAACATGGAGCTACAGTGGAGGAACAAGGAGCTACAGTGGAGGAACATGGAGCTACCGTGAAGGAACATGGAGCTACAGTGCAGGAACATAGGAGCTAAAGTGGAGGAACAAGGAGCTACAGTGCAGGAACATGGAGCTACAGTGGAGGAACATAGGAGCTAAAGCGGAGGAACATGGAGCTAAAGCGGAGGAACATAGGAGCTAAAGTGGAGGAACATAGGAGCTACAGTGCAGGAACATGGAGCTAAAGTGGAGGAACATAGGAGCTGAAGTGGAGGAACATAGGAGCTGAAGTGGAGGAACATGGAGCTACAGTGCAGGAACATAGTAGCTAAAGTGGAGGAACATGGAGCTAAAGTGGAGGAACATGGAGCTGAAGTGGAGGACCATAGGAGCAGAAGTGGAGGACCATAGGAGCTGAAGTGGAGGAACATGGAGCTGAAGTGGAGGNTCTGGAGGATTCTGGTTTCGTATGTTGCGTGTGAGCCGAGAATGAATTCAGAATCTGGGTTAAATCAGATGCACATGTTCATCCTGGTGACAATGGCATCAAAAGCTTTGTGCCAGACGTCCTGGAGGGAAACGTTAGCTCAGCGTCGGACATCGCGTCTCATTTGTTCATGACTACAGCCATCGGTTCACATCTGTCACAGGGCTTCACCAAAACGCCGGATCTGCCACTAAATACAAGCTGTTAGCTGGAGTTGATGCACATTTTATTAAATATTTTGTCTTTGACTCAGCAGTTTGTCTATTTGTCTCTACTATTACACCATAAACAGTCATGAACTAAAGTGTCCATCCACTTGTAAAGACCATCTATATCATGTCAGTCTGGAGTTTCCAATGACTCCTAGAACTCTGAATCTCGTATCATGGAATCATTGAAACATGAATCTCTCTTAACTCCTCCTGAGTGATTATAACTGACAACAGCTGGTGACTCGTCTGAGCCCCAAGAACACCAAACCTACCATCAGGCATGGAGGTGGCAGCATCATGCTCTGGTTCTGTTCTGCTGCCAGTGGANCATTAAATAATACAGATTTACCTGAACAGGGTCAGTGTCCAGGTGTCAGCAGTTCCTGTTGCGGCCAGCAGGGGGCAGCAGAAGCCTGTGAACACACTGACAGGAAGCAACAAGTATCTGGAAAGTAACTAAGTACATTTACTCAAGTACTGTTTGAAGTATTGGTTCAAACACAGTATAAATATAATATAATATAATATAATGTAATGTAATGTAATATAATATATAGTAAATGCTGATGCAGGTCAACGGTGGAAACTTTCTGACAGAAACATTGAACACAATCAGAGACCTTTTAAACACATTTAACGTCTCTACAATCGATCCTCCATCAGCCCCTGAGCTGCCTGTCAGGAGGGTAATTAGGACATTGATTGTGTTAACGAGGTCAGACCTAACGAGGTTAACCTCCAGCCTTATCTTCAGGCTGTATTTTACTGTGGTCAGGCTTTCTGTTGACCGAGCAGCTCGTCCTGGTTGGTGAAGCAGCAGCAGGAAGTCAAAGCTCCTGACTCGTCTGTGGTCCTGGTCTCTGGGTGGAGATGAAGGAGGACTCAGAGAATCGCTCACTTGCATTGAAAGCATCCGGCTGAGGTGGTTCAGGAGTCTGACCAGGACGTTCCCTGATCGCCTTCAAGATAAATCCAGCTCAGAGGAGAACCCAGAACACACCGGAGGGACTACGTACCTCACCTGGCCTGGAAACACCTCAGGATGCAGCTGGCAGAGGGTCTTCACTGGCTGTCTGAACAGACTGAGGAACCGAGATGTTCAAAAGGTACTTGATCAGGTGACCAGGAACCCAACGTTCAGCGATGGAGAACCATCTCAGCAGCTCTCGTCTCTCAGGCCTTTATGGTGGAGCATCTATATGAAACACGCTTTGACATAAAACAGTCATGATGGAGTTTAAAGTTCAGCGAAGCACGGCGGCGACAGCATCATGCTCTGTGGAGGCTGGTCAGAGCTGAAGATGGATGAATTAAAGAGAAGAAAACCTGCTGCAGAAACTCGAGACATTTTAGCACCACAGGGAGCTGAGGCAAACAAAACCAGAGTCTTCAGGACTGGACCAACCAGAACCCGGACCTAAAACCAGAAGAACATCCGAGGAGAAACCTGGAAGTTCACAGAAACATATGAACAGAATCTAAACGGGACAGAGCAGTGAGGACTTTATTCATGAACAAGCTGTGAAGGTTGAAGACAAACCAGATGAGGCCTGTAGAGACTCAACCAAGAAGACTAGAAGCTTCTACAAACGACTGACTTCAGGATCGGAACACTTTTAGAAATAAGAGGTCGTATTAAACTACCAAAAACGTTATTTTAACTCTGCTGTGAGGGTATCGGGCCTTTACTGGACGACTGAGTGGATGGTTGTTGAACGGTTTGTCGACGTCTCCGGTGTTCACGTCTCCTGCATAGAAACACGACACAGCTCTTCACATGTGGACCGGCGGTGCTGCTGCAACAACGGCCCGACGGAGGCGGAGCTCCGACATGACAAAGCGATGTGTTAATTTGAAGTAAGTGAGTGAAGCATAATTACAGAGCGACTGTATAGAAGTTAGAACAACATGTCGGTCGTATCTGGGAGGATCCAGCAGCATCAAAGATCTCAAAGCAGCCTTTGAAGTGTTCAGACCTCAGATTTATGTCGCTGCTGCTTTGAAAGATCGAACATACGATGGATCCAAACACGAGAGACTCGCCGGTTGTTTGACATAAGCAGATTTATTGTGTTGCAGTGTTACATAAACATGGAGAGTTGTGTGAGAACCTTACAGGAGGAGCTGGATGTGAAGGTGGCTCCAGCAAACCCAGTCACAACAAGTCCTGTGGCGCCGGACCAACGCACCACGTCGTATTATTTACACTCTGGTCACACCGACTCTGAGCTTCTGCCACTTTTCCCGTCAGCCCGGCGACTCGGCCTCCTCCTCCGGGAACGCTGACGTTAGATTTATGGCCGCTCCCGCCCACCCACCCACTCCCACAGCCGGCAGGGTGGACACAGTCACAGTCCAGACACATTACTGTGCCCAGAGTCCACACCAGCCCAGAGAACCCAGCACCAGAGCTTTAAGGCGTCCAACAGGAAGCTGGTGATGCTCAACGCTTTTCTTATTGTCAATAAATCCAAGAAAAACACACAAAACCAACGCTGAAGTGGTTCTAAGGAGTATTTTCTGTCCATTCAGAGCCTGAAGGAAACAGAAATGAGCTGTTGTTGTTATTAATTTCTACCCATTGTTAGTATTTGTTGCTCCAACAGGCTTTAGGAGTTCCACTAATCTGGGAATGACGAAACTAAAAGCTCGTCTTCGTCTGAAAACTTTCCCGCATCGGTCGAAAAATGTTGCTTTTAAAAAACTGAGTTTGAAAATCACATTTGTGTCCAAAAACGTTTCTACAAAACCGAGTTCATGAGGCTGTCGCTGGTCCGACGCTGTCCGACTCGGCAGAGATGTCGGACATTGTTCTGAACCGAGGCGATTCCTCAGACGACGACTGACGGACGTTAAAGTGTCCGACTGACAGCTAGACGTCACATTCAGGAAGCCCTTTACAGTCACAGGAGTGTCTGGTTAACATCTCCATCGTTGTGCTTTGAAGACGACGGATTAGAATTTGTCACCAGCTGAAGCTCAAAACCTTTTGGATGAATTTAACGCTTTTCTAACAGAACAAAAGAAACTAAATCTCTAATGTTTTCCTTTAAGTCAAAAACTAATATTTGCAAATCGAGAAAACAGGAACCCGGTCGGATCAGGGAGAAGCACAGCGAAGCACGGCGGCGGCAGCATCAAGCTCCGGGCTGCTTTACTGCAGCAGGGATGGAGGGTTTGTGATCTGCTTTGTTATCAAACTATTAAAAATGCACCATCGCTGGACTCGTGTCAGCTCTGATCGACACGCCGAAGCCATCAAAGTTCATTTTAAATCAATTCCACAGACTGTCGCTGAAACTCTGAGTTCGTTTCGTCGCCAAAACGTCGTTAATCAGACGTGGATTGCATCAAAACTTCCTCATTCATCTTCATGTTTCTCAGTTTGTCAGAAAAACACAAAATATAAAAAAAAAAAACAGGGAAAAGCAGTAAATTCTTGTATTTGCTTAATAAATCAAATTATAAATCATTGTGTCAGGCAGCAAAACAGCGGCCCGTGGGCCAAATCTGGGCCTGGAGCAAAAACATTTAACATAGATTGTTTTCTCAGAGACAGAAGCAGGAAACAAGAGGAACATCCTCAGATTTCTGCCAAATAACAAACAGTGAAGATGGTTTCGTCGCCCCCTAGAGGCTGGACAGCAGGAAAAACCTTCCTGGAAACACAACAAACTTTTCTCACAAATCTAAGGTGGACAGAAAACAAAAATCTCTCCTGACACCTAATTCATCTGTGCAAGTTTTCTAATCCCAAGAAATGTTAATATGCATCCTGAAACAGAATTAAATAAGAAATCAGATCACCCCCGATGTTAAACGTGCACCCGGGAATCCAGATCTGCTGAATAACCTCCAATACATCCACTGGTTCTCATGTTTCACTGATGTTTTATCTATTTTGTCAGTATTTCTTGATCAGGGTCCAGAACGAGCCTTAAAATCACAACGTTTTAACCACAAGATGCCTCAGGTCGACCCACGTTTGGTGCTGGTTTGTAGAAGATATTGCAGCAAACCTGGAGGTCATCGAATATCAAAACTAAACGGGTCGGTACCAAAGAATCGTCGTTGGTTTTTTTGCTCTTTTTGTTGACAATAAGAAAAATTGGCTGAGAGGTTGAGGTGCTGGTGGTCGGATGCAGGAACAGGACAGAACCACACTGGAAAACCGTCACCGGACTCTGAATAATCTCTGTGCAAACCGAAGGTGAGACGTCTATTGCTTAGTAAGTGTTAGTACCGGAACACCAGCAACGTGTGCTTCTTAGTAAAGGTGTGAACTATGTGCTGCAGCTCAGAGTCCGTCGGCTGCAGCGTTCAGGCTACAAATGCGTCTTTAGTGTTTAGAAAAATATACAAATTGCTGCTGTACAAAGGCTGCTGGGACGAGTGGAGCTGCTCGGCCGCAGACCGACTCGCTGCTGCTGCTGGATCTCCACACGAAGAATCTCGTCGATCCGCTCTGCGAAGGTAAAAAAAAAAAAAAGGCCACAGATCCCCCAAGTCGGACACAGTTCATTCCAAGGATCCGTCCTCCGGGGTCCCGTGGGTCGGACCGGTCCTGCCGAGCCGCCGGATCAGTGGACGCCTCCGTTGTACGACTTCCCGAACATGTTGAAGTCGGTTTCTACGAAGTGCGTGGTGACGGCCTGCTTGTACAGAGGGTTGGAGGCCTGACGGACAGACAGACAGAGAAAGACCGACAGTTACCTCATCTGGTTTATTCCAACAAAATTCAGCTGAGAAGCTGAGAAACAAAAGTACACTGAAGCACGGCGGCGGCAGCATCATCCTACGGAGGCTGGTCAGAACCAAAGGAACGATTATTAAACCCGCTGAGGTCAAGTTTGTTCAGTTTCCTCCATTACTGTATAAAAAACAGTTAAAAACACAAAACTGAGCTTCTTATGAAGAGTTTTTCTCTCTAATAACAGTAAATATCTGTAAAATGAAGATATTTTTGCTGCTTTAGGACAAAATGTGTAATTTTAGAATCAAATTTTTTCAAACGGTTAAAGCGTACATTCTTCTTAGGTTTTACGAGATTTTAGCAGTAATTTAACAATAATGTTATTTTATTTGTATTATTTATGCTTATTTTATTTCATTATATTTTCATTTATTTATTCTTATTTTAATTCATTTTATTTTTATTTATTTATTCTTATTTTAGTTGATTATATTTTTATTCATTTAATCTTTTTCATTTCATTATATTTTTATTTATTTATTCTTATTTTATTTCATTATATTTTTATGCATTTAAACTTATTTTATTTAGTTTAATTTTTTAAAATTTTATTTGTATTTATTCTTATTTTATTTCATTATATTTGCTATTTATTTAATCTTTTTTCATTATTTTTTTGTTTATTTATTCATATTTTATGTTTATTTTAACTTATTTATTCTTTTTTTTCTCATTTTATTTTTATTTATTTACTCATATTTTAATTCATTTTATCTCATTTGTTTGTTCAGTTTCCTCCATTGTTGTATAAAAAGCCGCCGTCTGTGGTCTCAGGTTCACTCGTGACTCGTTTATTGATCAACTGTCCTGCTTTCTACCAATTGATCCACAATCTGTTAACGATTGGATGTAATGAAACGATCAACGAGAAGCTGATCCAGAGAATCATGACCTCCGTTACATCTTCAGTCTGTTGTACTTTTATAATCGTTTCTTTTATTCACTGATTTAAATCCTGCTGTGGGTTCATCAGACGTCCTTCTGACCCGTTATGAAGCGTGAACTCGTCTCAGGTCGACTTCCTGTCTCCAGACTCTGAGGAACTCTGAAGACTTTTCTGTTTTCTTCTGAATTCATTCAAACAAACTACGAGCTGAACTTTTTATTTCTAATCTTACTGTTTATCCCAGAACTCTGTTTCCATGTCGCTTAAAGACGCTTTTAAAACCTGCAAAACAAATAAACTGGACTGTAACCTCACAAAACGGTTTTATTAGCAGCTTCTGGCATCATAAATCAGGGAGCAGGACACTCCCTGATGTTCCTGTCTGGTTCTGGAGGAACGTTCTGGTCGCTCAGACCATCTGAGTTACGTCTAGAAGGTTCAGCAGCGCTCCAGGATGAATCTACTACCTCTGAACACGTTTCCTGTAAACACCCAAACGTTAAACTGGTCCAACCTGAAGAAGGCTGAACGTTTAGAGTCAAACCGGCTGAAGACGCCGTCGCTGGTTCTGTTCACAACAACAACAACTATATGAGACATAAAATGACTAAAACCTGAAGAGAAAATGGAAAAGGAACGAAAAACAATTGAAATGGGAACCAAAGTGGGACAAAGACAAACACAAAGAGACGCAGAACGAACAATATGAGACACGAATATAACAAAATGAACATAAATACGATGCAAAACGACCACAAAGAGACACAAATAGAATAAAATGAACATAAATACGACTACAAAGAGACAGAAGACGACTAAAACTAGTCACTAAATCACCAAAATCAGGACAGAAATGGCGACAACTGATCAAATGTCTACTTTGAGTGGAACCATCTGAAGTCAGAGACGTCGTCGGTGTTTCTGGATTTTGTTCAAACTGATGATAAACAACGTTTTAAATTAAACACGTCCCTGTTTTGTCACTATTTCTTTAGACCCAAAGTCAAAACAAAACAACACATTCTTTGTGTCTGTAGTTTCAGACTCTTTAAGGTTCTGGTTCTGGCTGCTGTTGGACTCTGAGCTGAAACCCGTTTCGTGGTTCTAAAGCGACCGGCAGTCTCCCCGGCCTCGGGTCTTTCTCACCATCTCGTATCGAGCTCGTGACCGGGCGCTCTGGAAGCGGGCGAACTCTCGGCGGTCGTGGATGGTGATGACGAGCTTCCAGGCGGCGAGCAGAACCACTCCCACCAGCAGGATGCTGCCCACCACCGCCAGCAGAACCATGAGGGCGTCCGGACCGCGGCTGCACTCTGGTGGAGCGAGAAGCACAGAGAACAGCGTTAGAGCAGGTTTAGACGACCCGGTTCAGAGTTCATCTCATGTCAGTGTCAGATCACTCTGCTTGATTCAGTTCAGAACATCTGTTCACATAAAGCTGCAAGAACAATGAATCAACAGCAAATGTCTGGACGATAACCGGATTTAACAGCTTTACGATTCAGTCTGTGACTTTATGGACACACATTTGTCAAAATACAGATTTTTGACATTTTTTACAGTTTGGTGGGGTTTTTTTGTTTTTTTTTTTTGTTTAAAATTGATTTAATAATGTTTTCAGCAATTAAAATATGATTTTTTTTTTTTCTGAGGTTTTACTAGATTTTACCAGTAATTTAACAATAATTTATAT